ATCTTTGTATCAGCTTTGATGGTATCAAGCCAGATAGAACTTTGCTTGACTCTTCTTCTTGATCCACTAACCGTTCCTAGCATCATTGACTTCTCCAATGAAGTTGCACACATGACATGGCTAAAGAAAATCAGCCATATTCTTGTGATTTGGGCTTTTAATGATGTGTCTGGGTTTATATGATTCAGCACCTAGCTCATTAAATTATGGGTTGCATAATCTTGATTTGCTAATTAAACTACAGCTTTCTGGAATCTAAGTTAACAACATTGGATTCACACAATATGCTAAGGCATAATAACCAAGCAAACCATTTGGTCATTTGCTCAAAAGTAAGTCTAGGATTTTGTTGATTCACAGGTGTCCCCAACCTGTGGGCCATAGGCCATGGGCTATTCACAACTGGGCTGCCTGAGCGGGGGCTGGCATGTGCATGCTCACAGCCCCACTCGTCCAAAACCATCCCCTCTTCCTCCCCCCTCGGCGGGCTGCCAGCTTGGAAAGGTTAGGGAATGCTGACTAAAGGATTGGATCTGTTAAACTAGAAACACAGTCTTCTGATATGAGTTATAACTTTCATCCTTTATAGGCAGGTTGGCTGTTGTTGTTGCAGTGCAACACAGCTAGAAGATCCCCAGTTTAAGGAAAATTGATTTGGAGTAGGGTTGCTATGTTGGGGTTAAGAATAACTTTTTTTTGTCTTAATCAAGTCTAATTCATGGAGACTGCCTGAACAAGTCTATGCAGCTTTCCTGGCAAGATTTTTCAGGAGTGATTTTCCATTGCCTCCTTTCTAGGCTGAGAGAATGTGGCTGGCTCAAGGACATTCTGCCTAAGGCAGGACTGAAACTCAAGGTCTGCCCAAATAGGCAACTACTAGGGCGTGCTGCCATCTAGTGGTATTAAGATCACCACAAGAAGCACTGGATGGTACAGTACTGAAAAAGGTCATCTAAGGCTAAAGTGCACTTTTGCAAGGCTTGTACAAGATGCTGAACCCTACATCAGGATTAGTAAAAGGCAGCAGCTTAACATGTCATAGAACATACTTGGATAATGACTAAGGTCTCAAAAAGTGCAGTATCACATCACTTCATTTTGATCAAGGTGCATACAAAAATATACAGAAAGTACTAAGATCAGGAAGGAAATGTATGAAAAAGAGAGTGACTTAAACCCAAATATGAATGTATTTTGTATCCTGTGGAGAATACATCCCTATTTTTCTTTTAATTTCTCCACTGCAGTTAAAACTTTTTTATGTCAACTTTCTGAAAAGCATTGATTTTGTAAGATGGGTCTGGTTGCAGGGACTTTAGGTATGGAATTCAACTCCCAGAATTCCTTAGCAATCAAAGAAAATTCAGAGTTGTCACTTTTTGCTAAATACCATTTAGATCAGGGGTGTCAAACTCAATTTCATCTGGCTTGTGGGCCTTGAATTTGACACCCAATTTAGACCCTAAGACAGCAAAACTTAACTCCCACTTCTAAAGAAGAGGAGATATCATGTATATTGTTGAGGTAATTCCCCATTAGGAGAATGAGCGCATACAGGGAGACGTATTTGAGAGAAGTGTTTGAATAATACACACACAGTACACAGATACACTGTACAGTAAATGTAGGTTTTTACTTCCAGAAAGGTTTAAGCAAAGTCCAAAATAAGCAGTCCAAAGTCATTCACAGGTAAATCAGTCAGCTTTCAATCCAGGGATAATCCAAATATCAAAGTCCAGTGTCAAAAACAGTTCAGTATCAGACTTAAATTAAATCCAGTAATATCAGTCAATTAGAAGAAATGGAGCAACGGCAATACATTCCAACAGAAGGAAACAAGATACACTCACACTCTCTTCTGAGACTCAGACTAAAACAATCCAGGTTTCTGGCTCCATCTTTTGAAAAACCACACCCAATTGCAGTTTTTGCAATCTCTTAAAAACATAGTACTAAAATGTTTATCCTGGTTTATATATTTCTAACCCAAATAGCTGTTTGGGTCATATTCCTAACATTCTCCCCTTTTGGGTAAGATAATATATACAACCTTACATTCTAAGTCCATAATCTTCACAGCATGCCTTATGCTTTATAGAGTCTTGGGCCTTTGTAAAATGATCTGCTATATTGTTTCTGACATACAGTATTCTAGCCTAATCATCTTATTTTGCACACATTGTCTCACATTTAAATATCTTAAATCTGTGTGTTTCGTTCTTGTTTTAACAGCAATATTTGAAGCCATCTGTATTGCTGATTGGTTATCTTCATAAACAACAATAGGATCTTTTACATCAATTCCCATATCAATTAATAATTGTTTATACAAAACTAAATCTGTACATAGTAAAGACAAACATGAGAATTCAGCCTCCATTGTTGACAAACTTAGATGTTTCTAATAGATCTCCATCCAATAAATGCTTTTCCCAATAATACAGCAGTACCCGATGTAGATTTTCGTGTATTTATGTCTGTAGCAAAACTTGCATCAGCATATGCAGTTAAATTCAATTCATCTTTTGGCTCCAAATACAACAAATAATGCATTGTCTGTTTCAGATATCTTAACACACGTTTGGCAGCTTGCCAGTGCCTTTCAGTTGACTCAGCGTTAAATCTTGCTAATTGATTAACACAGTATGCAATATCTGGCCTTGACCAATTATTGAGATAAGATAAACTACCAATCAAAGACTGATAAATATTCTTATCAAAAATAGGACTTTGAACATCACTATGGCTAAACTCCTGGCTCATTAGTGTTTTAGCCGTTCCATTTTAGTTCCATTTTAAAACTTTTTAGTAATTGGTTAATTTTTTCTGCCTGTGAGATCTTGTATCCTCTTTATTTACCTTTAAACCAAGATATTGCTTGATTTCTCCTAATTGTTTTATTTTAAATTTCTTTTCCAATAGTGAAATTATCTCAGTAGCTTCTTGTTCAGTTTTGGTGATTAATGCTATGTCATCTGTAAATAATAACAATAATGAAATCATACCATTACTTTCCTTTTTAAACAAACACGGATCAGCCATGCCAGCTACAAAGCCTATCTTAGTTAATTCTTTAACTATACATTCGTTCCACTCATATCCTGATTGCTTCAAACCATAAAGACTTTTTTTTCAATTTCCAGAAATCAATTGTTTCATCAGTATTATTATTTTTGAGACCTAAAGGTTTCTTTAAATATATAGTGTGTTGCAATGGTGCATGCAGATATGCCGTTTCTACATCTAAATGATTTACAATGTATTTCTCCTTAGCTGCCCACACTAATGCTGCCCTTAATGTAGTAGCCTTCAGACTAGGTGCAAACACCTCATCATAGTCATTTGCTGTCTGATTGAACCTTTGTGCTACTAACCTGGCTTTATGGGTAACAGTCCCATCTTCACCTGCCTTTAGTTTATATATCCATTTACATCTTATGGCATGTTTACCTGGTGGTAACTTAACATTTTCGTACACCTCCAGTCTTTTTAATGATTCCAGTTCCTTATCCACTGCTTTCTGCCAAGCAGCCTGATCCTTAGCAAGATACATTTTCAGTTCACTATAATTACTTGGAACTGTATTCACTTGGCATACAACACTAGCCTGATATCTATCAGGTGGTCATGTTACTTGGGTTGAACGTCTTGGTAATACAGGGCTTACTGGTGGACTTTCCTGTGCCACCTGCTCCTGTTCTTCTATTACCTCCTGTTCTTCCTCTTTAATGGCTATTTGTTGTTTACTGATATCATCTTTTTGGGTGTCAATAATAATATCATTACTGGATTCCTGTTCCAGTTTATCCCATCCAACATGCTCAAGAATTTTGCATTAGCATTGCAATAAACATGAGCCGTGCCCAGAATCTAAATGATTTATGGTTGGCCTCATAACCCACAAAAAATAACTTAGTTCTATGTTGTCCTTTCAGTCTTACTTGTGAGGGAATATGCACCCATGCTGGAGCTCCAAATGTGTGTAAATAACTTAAATTTTGTTTTCTGCCATGCCAAAGAGTGAATGGTAATTCTCCAGTTGTATTTACTACATTGTTTAAAACATGGTTGCTACACATTATGGCTTCACCCCACAGTGTTTCAGGTAAACCTGAATCAGTAACATAGTGTGAGCCATGGCTTGTAATGTTTGCCCTCTTCGTTCTACAAAGTTATGTTGTGGTCTGTAAGGTGCAGAATGTTTATGCTCAACACCAGCCAATTTTAACATAGTTTGGAATCTTTTGTTAACAAACCCAGTCCCATTATCAGTTACTAAAGTAATTATTTTACTTTCATTTTTCTCTCAGCAAACCTTAGCCAGTTAAAGAAATGTTGGAATGTTTCTGTTTTGTTTTTCATAAGATAGCAGAAACCATATCCTGAGTAATGATCCATAATACTCAAAATATAGCATGCACCTCCCAAACTTGGTTTCTTAGGACCAATTATGTCAGCAAACACAACCTCTAAAGGTTCTTTGGTCTTAAACCCATTTAGTCTGTTTGCTGGAGTAACCTTGCTTTTATCTTGGCTACAAGCATCACAGTGTAAATACTTCCTACAGGGTTTCAACATAAAGCAAAGGGGTCAACATGAATAATTGTAATGAAAATCGGGAGCTGGAATGGGCATGTTAAAGCTGCAGTCCCGTTCTCGTGGAGGTTTCCGTGCAGACGGTTGAAGAGCTGCACTGAGGTTCAATGCTAAATCTTAAAGTGGTCTTCTCAAGGAGCCCCACTGAATTCAATTGCTTTATGTTGCGTGTGGCGAAATAAGCAAGCTGACCGGCAATGGACCCTCGCGTTAAAAAAGCTGCCAGGTTAAGGCTACCCTTGAATTTGACTCAAAGGCAAGCCCATCTGGATTTATTGGGGAATGATATTCTAACAAAGAAACAGAGGCGGGGATTGGCTTTGAGGTCGCCATAATTAAACCATCGCGCTGATGCCCGGCGCTCTACCACAGCACGTCCCTCTCGTCTTTAGCCAATCCACTCGCCTTTTCCGTCGGAGGGCGAGGAAATTACGCACTAGTCTTGCCTTTAACACACTGCCGAATCAGAAAAAGACCGACCGAAGAAGGTGCCGGGGAGCAGGTTATTCGTGGTTATTCGTCGCTGCAGCGCCCAGGTAGATTGCCGGAGCAGGGTGGGCACGGCGGGTAGCCTTTCTAACGGAGGTCTCCGCAATGCAAAACAGGGAGCGGGGAGGATGGCTTGGCTACGGTTAGGAAATCACAAGCAGCCGCTGCAGTAAACGGAGGGAAGCAAATGGATGAGACTGAGAAGGCGCTTGGCGGTGAGGGGTGCTGGAGCGGAGGCTGCGACACTGTCTAGGCGAATTAGCGGTGTGTGGGTTTTTCCCCCGGGGAGTAAAGGACCCCCGAGGCCCGGTAGCCACCGGCAACCCTCCTTTGGAACCCGGGCCTTGGCGGGGGAGGGTCCTCGGGGGAGCCGATTCTCGGTTCCCGGAGCTTTTTTTTCCCGGGTGGCCCCGTCGGCCATGTCTCCAGAGTTTGGCAGCGGGTCTATCGCGAAGCAGGATTTGGCGGCGCTGCTGTGGATCGATTTAGGCCCTTTTCAGATTCATCCCTCGGGCCTTAAAGGGTTAAAAATGCCGAGGCTGGCGCGCCTGCCAAGGGAGCGATTATGTCGCGTGAGACATAGGTGGGTGAGGGAACCTAATTCCCAATAAAGGTCACTCGTTAAAGTATGGCTGGGGCTGGTAGCAGGCGATGCTTTCCATCTAAACACGCAACCGTGTAAGCAGACGAGGCCTCTGCCTTAATGCTTAAAGTTGCCAACACTGGCTAGAGATTTGAGAAAACAAAATCGGATGAAAATCAATTACACTGCTCAAAAAAAATAAAGGGAATACAAAATTAAGACATCCTAGATCCGAATGAATGAAATGTTCTTATTAAATACTTTGTTCATTACATAGTTGAATGTGCTGACAACAAAATCACACAAAAATTATCAATGGAAATCAAATTTAGCAACCCATGGGGGCCTGGATTTGGAGTTACACTCAAAATTAAAGTGGAAAACAACACTGCAGATCCAACTTTGATGTAATGTCCTTAAAACAAGTCAAAATGAGGCTCAGTAGTGTGTGTGGCCTCCACGTGCTGGTATGACCTCCCTACAACACCTGGGCATGCTCCTGATGAGGTGGTGGATGGTCTCCTGAGGGATCTCCTCCCATACCTGGACTAAAGCATCCCCCAACTCCTGGACAGTCTGTGGTACAACATGGCATTGGTGGATGGAGCGAGACATGATGTCTCAGATGTGCTCAATTGAATTCAGGTCTGGGGAATGGGTGGGCCAGTCCATAGCATCAATGCCTTCGTCTTGCAGGAACTGCTGACACACTCCAGCCACATGAGGTCCAGCATTGTCTTGCATTAGGAGGAACCCAGGGCCAATTGCACCAACATACGGTCTCACAAGGGGTCTGAGGATCTCATCTCGGTACCTAATGGCAGTCAGGCTTCCTCTGGCAAGCACATGGAGGGCTGTGCGGCCTCCTAAAGAAATGCCGCCCCACACCATTGCTGACCCATTGCCAAACTGGTCATGCTGGAGGATGTTGCAGGCAGCAGAACGTTCTCCACGGTGTCTCCAGACCCTGTGAAGTCTGTCACATGTGCTCAGTGTGAACCTGCTTTCATCTGTGAAGAGCACAGGGTACCAGTGGTGAATTTGCCAATCTTGGTGTTCTCTGGCAAATGCCAAATGTCCTGCATGGTGATGGGCTGTAAGCACAACCCCCACCTGTGGACGTCGGGCCCTCATACCACCCTCATGTAGTTTGTCGTGGGTTGTAGACTCTGCCTCATGCTACCACTAGAATGAAAGCACCGCCAGCATTCAAAGGTGACCAAACCATCAGCCAGAAAGCATAGGAACTGAGAAGTGGTCTGTGGTCACCACCTGCAGAACCACTCCTTTATTGGGGATGTCTTGCTACTTGCTTTCCACCTGTTGTCTATTCCATTTGCACAACAGCATGTGAAATTGATTGTCAATCAGTGTTGTTACCTAAGTGGACAGTTTGATTTCACAGAAGTGTGATTGACTTGGAGTTAGTTACATTGTGTTCTTTAAGTGTTCCCTTTATTTTTTTGAGCAGTGTATAATAGAAAATCAATAAAAGGTCATGGACAGACTGGAGGGATTGTCTACCCACCCTGTGTCAGTGAAACCAAATAACTTGCTGGGCAGATTTTTATGAAAAGAGCCCCTCAAAGCCCGTTCCTGCGTCACACAGCTATACTGCATTAAAACTTCCAATAGAAGAAAATGTATGAGTTCAGGGTTGAACTGTGGAGTCCTTGGTGCTCTCTGGACTTGGTTGTTCACTTACAGAGGTTTCCTCACTCAAGTAGGGAACCATCCCTATTGCACTGATGATATTACCTATTTGGGTAATAAAATGTCTGACACAAATAAACCAAGTTCAGAAGGAAGACTTCTCATTACAACTTCCATCATCTCCTTACCTTACTTGGAGGGCATCCATTCTTGAAGGCTGTTACTTTAAGGAAGGGAAAAAAAGTCACCTAACTTTGTTAACAGACTTAAAACATATCCACAAAGAGGTTAATGGACATGTATCATTGTGTATCAGACACAATTGGTGGAAAGACTTATAATACCTAACTCGTGTTATTCTCAGAACATCAGATTCCATTGAGAAATGTCTGCAAAGTCCCAAGTATCTCATTAACTTCTCTTTTTATGGTAGCCTTCCCCGGATTGGTTGAGATAAGCTGAGATCTGCAGAAGTCTTGGCAGTTGGAAACAGTTCCAGCTTGCTTCTTAAAGATATTGCAGCTTCTTAAAGATATTGCAGTGTTGCTGCCCTGATATTACTTTGCATTTGATATCAAAAACCCAGCATGGCCTGGGTTGTGGGATTCAGAGATGGTGACCTTTCTTAAAGTCCTCACACAACTATCAATGTGGGGAGGAAACTTTATCTTGCTACTAATAGTGAGACACACACAGATGCACATTTAAAAAAAGTTTAAAGAAGAAGAGATTAGAAATGTATTCAGTGTAATGATCTCTTTTATTTTCCACTTTGTCTCTATTTTTAAAGTTGTTCCCCTCAGTGCAAAGATTATAGCTGTGCCGTGTTGGTGTCACCTATAGATAATTTGCAAAAGTGTGAATAGCCAGTGTGGAAACTAATCATGCAGCTGGCATATACAGTACTAAAAATTAGACCTAATGAGGTAGTGTAATTATAGTGTAAAGTGTAACACTTGTAGCTTAAACATACAATTTCTGCATAGATTGCTGGATGCACCTACTGTGGTAAGATGTCTTCAACAGTAGCAAAATAGTAATGGTTACGAATTAATGGTTTAGGGTTAGAGACAGGGGTGGGACTCAAATTTTTTAACAACCAGTTCTGTGGGCGTGGCTTAGTTGGTGGGCGTGGCTTGGTGGTCATGTGACTGGGTGGACGTGGCTTGGTGGTCATGTTATTGGCTGGGCAGTGATGTTATTGGTGGGCGTGGCCAACTCAGTGTCACGCACATCAAGGCACGCATCTCCTCACCTGGCCTCTCATGACTGTGGGGATGCTGCAACAGTCGTAAGTGTGAAAAATGGTCATAAGTCACTTTTTTCAGTGCCATTGTAACTTTGAATGGTCACTCCACACAAACAAAGTACCAGCAAAGGAGGAGAAAAAAAATTCCAGAGAAGTTCCTGAGACAGGAAGTCTAGTCCTGCCAAGAATGTAATAAAGGTTAACAGAGAGGCAGTTTCTGTAAGCAACACCAGAATGTTTCCTTCCTGCCTTCCCTATAGGATTAGGCCAGTAATTTCTTCTAACAACTGGTTCTCCCAACTGCTTAGAATGTTAACAACCAGTTCTAGCCAATAGGTGTGAACTGGTAGAATCCCACCCCTGGTTAGAGAGAGCATAATCTAGAATATCCCTGCAGTTAGAGGAGCAGAGGAAGAGCTATATTGCTATATTTCTTCCTTGTAGGTTTTTGATTTAATCCAGCAGAATATTAGAAAACATGATGAATTTGTTTTTGAGATACAAGGTCTACCCTTATTTGAGAGTAACCAGGGATTGTGAGGCCTAAGAGATAGTTCTATGATCTAACTAAGAAAATCTAGGAATTGTCTTATTGAAATAGCTGGTTTTGCTTAAATTGGATGATTTGTGCTTCATAGTATTTAATTTTCCCCACTATTATTATTTTTTGCTTTATGATTTCCAAAGGTTCTTCAATTTTTCTAGTGAATTTCTTCTACTTCTGTATGCCTGAATATTTTATTTCTGGAATGAATTTTCTTTGATTTGCTAATAATCAGTGGTACTTGAGTCTGGATAAATTCTTTTCCAACACTCAAACATTCATTTTAAGTATCCCTGCTTTGGTAGTTTTGATTCATAATTGGCCATAATGGTGTGATTTTAAAACACAGTATACTTTTGTCTTGCTGTGATTGTTGTTCTTCCAATAATCCTACAGGGGTAGAGGTTCTTGTTGCCAAGACCTGTTGCCCAGATGCCGAGTGGTTGACAGATGCTCAGGAACTCTTAACACCTGGCACAGTCCTTGTTGACTTTGGCAATATTTGATCCAGTATAGGATTCTTTTTCTTCTGATTTTGCTTGTCAGAAGGTGGCAAAAAGTGATGATATGATCCTGGGACACTGTGAACCTCATAAATATGAGTCAGTTGCCAAGTGCCCAAAGTGTGATCAAGTGAAGATAGTGATACTGCAATAGCGATACTGTTAAATGATTGTTGGATATTCTTAGACTGAATTTTCCATGAAAACCTGTCTGACATGACTACAAATTGACAAAATCTTGGCTCATTAATGCATCAGATTTAACAGTGGTTGTAAAGAAGAAAGTGTGGATAATAGATGTGGCAATACAGGAGACAATAGAAGAGTAGACAGAATTGGAGATCACAGAGTATGAAGATCTGAAAATCGAAATTGAAAGATTATGGCATAAAATAGTTATAGTGGTCTCAATGGTTAATGGTGTACCATTAATACCACCTGTCACATAACACCCCAGGCTTAACAATTATTGATAAAAAAGACATGCAAAAAATTCTGGATAATGGACATGGCAA